GGACGTGCAGATCTGTCCTTGCAGAGGAGGGAGAGCTTGTCCCTGAATAAAACTTGGTCTTAAAGGTGCCACTGGACACTTTTGGGCCGGGGGGCCGGGGGGAGCTCTGCAACTTACCTGGCTGCTTCTCCCTGGCTGCATCTCCCTGAGGTTCCGGAATTGAGGTTTTTGAGCACTTTATTGTAGTGAGATGGTTTTAAATTGTATAACATGTTTTAAAGGCTACTAAATTATCTGATGTTTTATTATTGCAAGATTTCTTGCCATGTAAACCGCCCTGAGCCCTACGGGGGAGGGCGGGATATAAGTTTAATAAATAAATAAATAAATAAATTGCTCTGACTGAGGGCTGCTGGGAGAAGGGGGCGGGGCTTGTTGCATGTGCCCGCCCCCTGGGCTCTTTCCTGCCGAAGCTCCGCTCCTGTGCGCTCCTGCAGGAAATGACCCCTGTCACAGGGGCCAAAACCCAGGTGCCAGAAGCCCTCCCAGTTATACTCCACAACTCCCGTTTAGGCCAATGGCCCATCCAGTCCAACACTCTGTGTCACACAGTGGCCAGAAATACCAGGGGCCCTCAGGAGGTCCAGCAGTGGGGCCAGGACACCAGAAGCCCTCCCACTCTTGCCCCCCACCCCAAGCACCAAGAAGACAGAGCATCCCTTGCCCCAGACTGAGAGTTCCTATCTATGCCTTGTGGCTAATAGCCACTGATGGACCTCTGCTCCATAGAAGAACATAAGAGAAGCCAATGTTGGGTCAGGCCAAAGGCCCATCTAGTCCAACACTCTGTGTCACACAGGGACCAGAAATACCAGGGGGTATCAGGAGGTCCAGCAGTGGTCCAAAAGATGTCCCCAGCTCGAAGGACGTCCGCCTTGCCTCGACCAGGGCCAGGGCTTTTTCCGCCCTGGCCCCCGCCTGGTGTAACACGCTCCCTGTCGAGATTTGGGCCCTGCGGGATCTCCTTCAATTCCGCAGGGCCTGTAAGATGGAGCTGTTCCGCCGGGCCTTTGGCTGAGGCAGCGGGCGTCCACACATGGTCTCCCTGAGGTGGTCGTCACCTATCCATCCATTAACCCAAAGAATGTGCTAAAGAACCGTACAGCCAGTGACTGTCAGAAGTGTGATTGAGTTTTAATGTTTTCTATCGTTTGAATCCCTAACTTGTTTAATTTTAATTGTATATATTGTACTGTTTTTAGGATGTGACCCGCCCTGAGCCCGCTTGTGGGATGGGCGGGCTATAAATACAAATAATAAATAATAATAAATACTATTTTGCAGCAGCAGACTGACATGGCTAAATCCTCTGGCTGAATGAGTCACGCTGAAGAAAAACCAGTCGTGTCTCACAACTGGCCAGCCCTGTCTCCCGTGTCCTGTTTAAAAAAACGCCCCTATGTTTTGTCCTTCTCAGTTTGGTGTCATGGTTAAGTGCGCGGACTCTAATCCGGGAGAACCGGGTTTGATTCCTCACTCCTCTGCGTGCAGCTGCTGGTGTAACCTTGGGACAGTCACAAGTTCTCTCAGAGCTGTCCGTGTAAAAAGAGCAGTTGCTGTCAGAGCTCTCTCAGCCTCACGTACTTCACAGGGTGTCTGTTGTGGGGAGGAGAGGGGAAAGGAGTTTGTAAACCTAATCTGGGAGAACCAGGTTTGATTCCCCACAACTCCACCTGCACCTGGCTGGGTGACCTTGGGCCAGTCACAAGTTCTCTCAGAGCTGTCCTTGCAAAAAGAGCAGTTGCTGTCAGAGCTCTCTCAGCCCCACGTACTTCACAGGGTGTCTGTTGTGGGGAGGAGAGGGGAAAGGAGTTTGTAAACCTAATCTGGGAGAACCGGGTTTGATTCCCCACTCCTCCACTTGCACCTGGCTGGATGATCTTGGGAGAGCCATAGTTCTGATAAAAGCTGTTCTTGGAAAAGGGCAGTTTCTGTCAAGAGCTCTCTCAGCCCCACCTGCCTCACAGGGTGTCTGTTGTGGGGAGGGGAAAGGAAAGGAGTTTGTAAGCCACTCTGAGACTCCTTTGGGTAGTGAAGGGCGGAGTATAAATCCAATCTCTTCTTCTTCTTTTACTTCACAGGGTGTCTGTTGTGGGGAGGGGAAAGGAAAGGAGTTTGTAAGCCACTCTGAGACTCCTTTGGGTAGTGAAGGGCGGAGTATAAATCCAATCTCTTCTTCTTCTTTTACTTCACAGGGTGTCTGTTGTGGGGAGGGGAAAGGAAAGGAGTTTGTAAGCCACTCTGAGACTCCTTTGGGTAGTGAAGGGCGGAGTATAAATCCAATCTCTTCTTCTTCTTTTACTTCACAGGGTGTCTGTTGTGGGGAGGGGAAAGGAAAGGAGTTTGTAAGCCACTCTGAGACTCCTTTGGGTAGTGAAGGGCGGGGGTATAAATCCAATCTCTCCTTCTTCTTGTCGACTGACCCCCTCTCCCGATCCCTCTCCCCCCCCCTTCCCCTCCAATCTTGCAGGTGCCAAACGTGCTCCGTGGAGCTGCTTCAAGAAAGTGAACACTCAAGGTGACCGGACCGGCAACTGTGGCACAGGAAGGCCTGGGTACAAGAAGTGTGAAGAAGAGTAGGTGGCGTGTGAGAGTCTGTCAGGTCGACTAGCTCCTGTCCCGGGGGAAGAAATAGGTCAGGAGACAGCAAAAGGGGGGGGGGGGTTACCAACCCAAGTTCCCACTCAGAAGTCTCAGCAGCTGAAACGTAGAACAAAATCTATCTATTTATTGCTATGTGCCCAGTAAGTACAAAGACCTCAGCCCTGGAGAGCGCCTGCCAGTCAGAGTAGACGATTCTGACCTTGATGGACCCAGTGGTCTGATTCATAAGAAGATGAAGAGTTGGTTTTTGTAGCCCGCCCTTCACTGCCCAAAGGAGTCTCAGAGTGGCTCACAATCTCCTCTCCCTCCCCCTCCCCACAACAGACACCCTGGAAGGTAGGCGGGGCTGAGAGAGCTCTCTTGAGAACGGCCCTTGAGAGAACAGCTCTGAAAGAACTTTGGACTGACCCAAGGTCACAGCAGCAGCTGCATGTGGAGGAGTGGGCAATCAGACCCGGTTCTCCCAGATTAGAGACCACACTCCTAACGACTACACCAAACTGATTCAATACAAGGAAATGTCGTATGTACATATATGGCGTGCCAAAGGCCCCGGGTTCAATCCCCGACATCTTCAGTTAAAAGGATCAGGCTCAAGGGGATGCGAAAGACCCTTGGCCTGAGACCCTGGAGAGTTGTAAAGAGGGGCCGTGGCTCAGTGGCAGAGCCTCCACTTGGCATGCAGAAGGTCCCAGGTTCAATCCCCAGCATCTCCAGTTAAAAGGACCAGGCAGGAGGTGATGGGAAAGACCTCTGCCTGAGACCCTGGAGAGCCAGGGAGGGGCTGTGGCTCAGTGGCAGAGCCTCTGCTTGGCATGCAGGAGGTCCCAGGTTCAATCCCCATCATCTCCAGTCAAAAGGACCAGGCAGTAGCTGGTGTGAAAGACTTCTGACTGAGACCCTGGAGAACTATGGTTGGGGGGCCATGGCTCAGTGGCAGAGCATCCGCTTGGCATGCAGAAGGTCCCAGGGTCAATCCCTGGCATCTCCATTTAAAAGGACCAGCCAGGAGGTGATGGGAAAGTCCTCCGCCTGAGACCCTGCAGAGCTATAAAGAGGGGCTGTGGCTCAGTGGTAGAGCCTCTGCTTGGCATGCAGAAGGTCCCGGATTCAATCCCCGGCATCTCCATTTAAAAGGACCAGCCAGGAGGTGATGGGAAAGACCTCCGCCTGAGACTCCGGAGAACTGCTGCCGGTCTGAGTAGGCAAGACTGACCATGATGGACTAAGGGTCTGATTCAGTTATAAGGCAGCTTACATAAGAACATAAGAACATAAGAGACGCCAATGTTGGATCAGGCCAAAGGCCCATCCAGTCCAACACTCTGTGTCACACAGTGGCCAGAAATACCAGTGCCATCAGGAGGTCCAGCAGTGGGGCCAGGACATTAGAAGCCCTCCCACTGTTGACCCCCCCAAGCACCAAGAAGACAGAGCATCACTTGCCCCAGAGCCCCTATCTATACCTTGTGGCTAATATCCACTGATGGACCTCTGCTCCATATGCTTATCTAATTCCCTTTTGAAGCCGTCCATGCTTGTAGCCGCCACCACTTCCTGTGGCAGTGAATTCCATGTGTTAATCACTCTTTGGGTGAAGAAGTACTTCCTTTTATCCGTTCTAACCCGACCACTCTGGAGTTTCATGGAGTGCCCACGAGTTCTTGTATTGTGAGAAAGGGAGAAAAGTACCTCTATCTCTACCTGCTCTTTCCCATGCATAATCTTCAGGTGTTCATAATCTACCTGCTCTTTCCCATGCATAAGCTTCAGGTGTTCAGGTGCTCTTTCTTGTAATGTGCTACTATTCTCTTCACTGGCCCTTGCAAAAGGGGTTCTGTCCCGTTGACCCTGACCTCTCATTCCCACCAGACCTTGGCCAGTTTGGTGTCGTGGTTAAGTGCGGGCACTCTAATCTGGGAGAACCGGGTTTGATTCCCCACTCCTCCACTTGCACCTGGCTGGATGACCTTGGGCCAGTCACAAGTTCTCTCAGCGCTGTCCTTGCCAAATGAGCAGTTTCTGTCAGAGCTCTCTCATCCCCGCCTACCTCACAGGGTGTCTGTCAGGTTCCACAGCCAACAACAGAGTACACACTTACCAGAAAGGTTATACTTTATTGAAGAGCTAAAATGCATTAACAGAAGCACTGTTAAGAATGGCGTCGCCCCTACAAGCAAAATGGAATATAGGGCATTTGTATACACACGCACCCTTCCAAAGGCCAATAGGCCTGACTCCCGCGCGCGGGAGAAGGAGCCCCAGACCGTTAGAGTCGAAGCTGGGAACCGATAGCGCTCCCACGGTTTTCCCTTCACGCCAGGCACTACACCACCTGCACACCTTAGAGATAACAGCGTTACAGCAAAGACGAAGCACAGAAGGAATGCAGCAGTAATTAGTACACAGAAAAGGGAAGCCGATGGCCTCCTGAACCATCATGGCAGCATAGCTGACAGTGTCTGTTGTGGAGAGGGGAAGGGAAAGGATTCCCCAGTCCTCCACTTGCACCTGGCTGGATGACCTTGGGCCAGTCACAAGTTCTTTCAGAGCGGTCCTTGCAAAACGAGCAGTTTCTCTACCTCACAGGATGTCTGTTGTAGGGAGGGGAAGGGAAAGGATTCCCCAGTCCTCCACTTGCAGCTGCTGGATGACCTTGGGCAAGCCAAGTCCCGGTGGGCTATTGTTCTAGAGCTCCAAGCTCAGTCAGTCTCTGGTACCCAGTCCTGGAATACCCCAGCCCTAATACATAACAGGAACCAATGCTCATGTGCTTCTGAGCCTAGCAGCCTGTCCTGTGGACCTGTGTTCACCTGAAAGTGGGATCAGCAAGACATCCGGTAGCAGTAAGGGACACGCCTTGAGGGAAGGGACTCTTCAGCATCCAGGGGTGCAGCACGGGTGTTTTCAGTCAGCGTTAGGAAGGGGCTGGAGTTGCCAACCTCCAGGGGACACCTGGACATCTCCTGCTACTACAGTTGCTCTGCAGACAACCGAGATCAGTTTGCCTGGAAAAAATGGAGCCGGTTTGGTGTAGTGGTTAAGTGCGGGGACTCTTAATCTGGGAGAACCGGGTTTGATTCCCCACTCCTCCACTTGCACCTGGCTGGGTGACCTTGGGCAATCCAATCCCTTCTTCTTCTTCCTAAATGTGCAGACTCTCATCTGAGAGAACCGGGTTTGATTCCCCACTCCTCCACTTGCACCTGCTGGATGACCTTGGGCAAACCACAGTTCTGTCAGAGCTGTTCTTGAAAGAGCAGTCCTCGGGGAGAGCTCTCTCAGCCCCACCCGCCTCACCGGGTGCCTGTTGTGGGGAGGGGGAGGGAGAAGAGATGCTAAGCCTCTCTGAGACACCTTTGGGTAGTGAAGGGCAGGGTATCAATCCAATCTCTTCTTCTTCTTCTTCTGTTGTGGGGAGGGGAAGGGAGAGGAGATGGTAAGCCGCTCTCTGAGACTCGGAGTGAAGGGCGGGGCATAAATCCTTTTCTCTTCTCTGCGATCATACCCTGACGAAGTCCCTCCCCGCCCCCCCAGGCTCCACCCCCCCCTGAATCTCCAGGTATTCCCCCAACCCATAGCTGGCAACCCTAGAAGGCCCTGCGTAAGCCTGTCTTTCCCGGGTTTTGTTCTTTCAGGCATGCGGTTTGTGGAAGGATCCAGTGCACCAATATTAAAAGGGTTCCAGTGCTTCCCACCAGACAAGCCGTCCTGCAGACGCCCGTCGGCAATATCTGGTGCTGGGGGGTAGAATTCCACGAAGGGCTGGGCGTCTACGATGTCGGAGTGACTCCAGATGGATCCTCGTGTGGTGCGGGGAAGGTAGCTTGATAAGAAAGCTTAGATTTAACTCTGAGGAGGAGGAGGAGATTGGATTTCTACCCCGCCCTTCACTCGGAGTCTCAGAACAGCTTACAAACTCCTTTCCCTCCCCCTCCCCACAACAGACACCCTGTGAGGTACATGGGGCTGAGAGAGCTCTGGCAGAAACTCCTCTTGCAGCTGCTGGATGACCTTGGGCAAGCCATAGTTCTGATAAGAGCTGTTCTAAAAGAGCAGTCTTTGTCAGAGCTCTCTCAGCCCCACCGACCTCACAGGGTGTCTGTTGTGGGGAGGGGAAGGGGAAGGAGATTGTAAGCCGCTCTCTCAGCCCCACCTACCTCACAGGGTGTCTGTTGTGGGGAGGGGGAGGGAAAGGAGTCTGTAAGCCTAATCTGGGAGAACCAGGTTTGATTCCCCACTCCTCCACTTGCACCTGGCTGGGTGACCTTGGGCCAGTCACAAGTTCTCTCAGAGCTGTCCTTGAAAAAAGAGCAGTTTCTCTCAGAGCTCTCTCAGCCCCACCTACCTCACAAGGTGTCTGTTGTGGGGAGGGGAAGGGGAAGGAGTTTGTAAGCCGCTCTGAGACACCTTTGGGTAGTGAAGGGTGGGGTATGAATCCAATCTCCTCCTCCTCCTCCTCCTCCTCCTCCTCTCTAATCTGGGAGAACCGGGTTTGATTCCCCACTCCTCCACTTGCACCTGCTGGATGACCTTGGGCAAGCCATAGTTCTGATAAGAGCTGTCCTTGGAAAAGAGCAGTCTTTGTCAGAGCTCTCTCGGCCCTGCCTACCTCACAGGGTGTCTGTTGTGGGGAGGGGAAGGGAAAGGAGTTTGTAAGCCGCTCTGAGACACCTTTGGGTAGTGAAGGGCGGGGTAGAAAACCAATCTCCTCCTCCTTCTCCTCCTCCTCTTCTTCTTCCACCTACTGGATGAACTTGGGCAAGCCATAGTTCTGATAAGAGCTGTTCTTGAAAAAGAGCAGTTTCTGTCAGAGCTCTCTCAGCCCCACCTCACAGGGTGTCTGTTGTGGGGAGGGGGAAGGGAAAGGAGATTGTAAGCCGCTCTGAGACTCCGGGTAGTGAAGGGCGGGGTATAAATCCAATCTCTTCTTCTTAATTGACTTTTTTATGCCTTCCCTTCCGAGATCTGCATGAACCGATCCTGCGTTCACTTTGGAGTTCAGAAGTCCAGCTGTGATTCCAGCAAATGTAGCAACCGAGGGGTGAGCAGCCAAGTTATTAGCATCCCCTAGTTGCATGAGTGGAATGTCTGTTTGGGAGGACTGTGAGTCAAATTTCCGACTTGTGGAGCATGCCTGAATTACTGTGCCTGGCAACAGACACAAATGCCAAAAGCCAGTTTGAAAATTGGAGCCGTGCTGAAGCGAGCCACTAGCCATTTCCTGAGAGGTTAAAAAGCCCAACGGTCACAGAAACCAACCAAAGCCTGAGAGAAAAAAATTCTTTAGTTGTTGTAGATTTTTCCCCGGGCTGTGTGGCCGTGGTCTTGGCATTGCAGGGCCTGATATTTCGCCAGCAGCTGTGACTGGCGTCCTCAGAACCAGGGGTCATTTTGTAGGAAAAGAGGTGCAGGAGCTCATTAGCATAACTCATTTGCATAACTTATTTGCATATGCCACACCCCCTGACATCACCGGAAGTGTGTCAGAAGGCAACACCCACTGCTCAGGCTCCACTGGACTGTTTTGGATTCCTAGCTATTGGGGGGGGGCGTGCAGATCTGTCCTCGCAGAGGAGGGAGAGCTTGTACCTGAATAAAACTTGGTCTTAAAGGTGCCACTGGACTGTTTTGGATTGCTAGCTGGGGGACTGAGTGTGAGCTGTGCAGAGATAGAGAGAAAGAGAGTAGGAAAGGAGGGAAAGAAAGAAGGAGGGAAAGAAAGAGGGAAAGACGGAAATAAGGAGGGAAAGGAGAGAAGGAAAAAAGGAGGGAAAGAAAGAAGGGAAAAAGTGGGAAAGAAATAGAAGGAAAGAAGGAAGGAGAGAAGGAGCAGGGGGCGGGGCTTTTTGCATGTGCCCACCCCCTGGGCTCTTTACTGCCGGAGCTCCGCTCCTGTGCACTCCTGCAGGAAATGACCACTGCTCAGAGGTGTAACACAGAATGATGGAGTACTCTCTGTCTCAAGGTGAGAAGAAAAATGGTAGGCAGGTAATTTATATCTACTCAGGAAGGTGGGGTAGGGCTGAGTCATTATCTTGTAGGAGTTCCCCAGGTTGTGAAACGTGCTAACGGAGGAGCTTTTCTGAGGAGGTTCTTTTGCATAAGGATTGTTTCCTGAGGAGGTTCCCTGCTTCCTGAGAGGTTCTTTTGCATCTGTTTTCAGCTCCAGAGGGTAGCCATGTCAGTGCATGGTGGAACAGCTACATTCAAGTCCAGCAGCACCTCAGGGATCAACCAGATTTTTCGGCGTATAAGTTTCCGAGAGTATCGGACGAAGGGGGCTTTGACTCCCAAAAAGCTTTGACCCTGGAAATCTTGTTGGTCTCTAAGGTGCTGCTGGGCTCAGATCCAGGTATTTTTAATGGTTGTGAACAGGGGTCATTTCGTAGAAAAAGAGGTGCAGGAGCTCATTAGCATAACCCATTAGCATAACTCATTTGCATATGCCACACCCCCTGACATCACCGGAAGTGTGTCAGAAGGCAACACCCACCGCTCAGGCTCCACTGGACTGTCTTGGATTGCTAGCTATTGGGGGGGGGGGACGTGCAGATCTGTCCTCGCAGAGGAGGGAGAGCTTGTGCCTGAATAAGACTTGGTCTTAAAGGTGCCACTGGACTGTTTTGGATTGCTAGCTATTAAGGGGGGGGGAACGTGCAGATCTGTCCTCACAGAGGAGGGAGAGTTTGTACCTGAATAAAACTTGGTCTTAAAGGTGCCACTGGACTGTTCTGGATTGCTAGCTATTGGGGGGGGGGGGAAAGGGCGCATC